TGGAGACAAAGGCTCAGGATGCACACCTCAAAGCCCCAGCCCAGTGTCCTGGCCCGTAGACCTGGCATGCATGGCTTTGGGTAGCTGCAGATCACAGAACAGAGTGTCTACGATAAGCAAAATTGCTTTACATGAAGCACATGGATTTTGCATCAAGGAGTTTTAATTATAAGGCTATAAATATGTCAAAGGGATCTGACAACATCTTATTAAATTACAAGAGTGAGCTCAAGAAGTTTCTGATGCTGGCATAATCCCAAGAAGAATGAGTTTTATAGTCAGAAGCTCCCCAGCCCTCTCCCTCCCTCCCTGCCCACTCCTTTCCCCATTTAAATTGTTTGTTTATTTAAGTCATAGAAGATATTGTATAGAAATCAAATATAAGTCAAATTACAAAAATGCAGATGAAATATTTCATCCAAATTCTTTGCCTTCCTTTTATCCCCTCATTTCTTTGAATGATGGTAGGAATTATTCTCCAGAGACTTCTTTGGAACTCCAAATAGAAAAAAAAAAACACTATTTTTTTTTCTGATGAGATATTAAGCGTGGCTGGTATTTTCAATTGTACTTCCATTGGAAATAGTACATTAGTCTCAATTTTTTAAAAAAAATATAAGTATGAAGGAATAATTTCATAGAAATAACTGTCACATTAACTATCAGACTCCCAGGGACACTGGGCAGCTGGGAGTTATGATAGCACAAATGAGAGCTACAAAGATTCTCAGTGACAACTTTCCATCTGTAGCTGCCTTAGAAATTTAAAGGTTACGTATCAGGTTTTGAAGTAGGATCCTTCTAGCTTCACTGTGATCACAATCACATGGGATCCAAGAGAATAGTTTCTTAATGTGACCTCCTAAAGATCTTATCTTATCTCTTTTTAGTGTGACTATATCACCTCTTTTCTCACCTGTGTCTAAGTCACTCTTATTAATATATGTATCATCCAGGGTCTAAAGGAGGGACTTTAACTCAGGGAACTGATTACACTGGGGATGACTGTGAAGAAACCCAGCGAGCTGAGCAGCAGCAACAAACCACTTCCATCACGAGACTGTATGCGTGCAATATTATTTTCTTCAAGTACGCGGGAACTCTTCTAGATCTGTCATGGACTCAAAAAGTAGAAGACACGCAGGAAACAAAGAGGGTGACCACGGGCTCAGCCACGGGGATGGCTAAGTGCTGGGAGGGCAGAGCATGAATGAGAACTCTGGTGCCTCTAGGGCCACTGTGAGAATCAGCTACAGGGCCCTTCATGGTGTCACTTTGCCTGACTTAAAACTTCTAGGAAGCAATCTGAGCTCAGGGACACATTGAGAATAAGCACCTGGTAACACATTTTAGTCTCTTAGAAATGCTAACCTCTTGCAGAGAGAGAGCCAGAGCTTTTCCTTTCAATGAGTCAGAGAGGTATTTATCCAGGAAGAAAGGGGACTTAGATGAAAGCATTTTGGTCTTCTAAAGAATATTGTAGGTTTTATATTCATGTTCAAAACAGCAGATCAGATCTTATACAAATGCCCTTGGTAGAGTTTACTGGAAGCAAAATGGCAAGGTCAGCAGAGCCTACCTGCAGTCGCCTTTTTTCCTGTTCCCCTTCTTACACGTTTCTTCCCTTCAATTTGAACACTCGGTATTCCTAACTGCTAATCTTCCTTCTTCACTTATTCTTACTTACTTGAAAATATCAGAGTTAAGTCATTTACAACTTAGAACAAATTTAAATCAATGTAACATTTTCACTGCTGTCTACTCTATCTACCCAAGGAAAATGACCCTTAACATTAGCATATATTTTGGAAGAAAATTTTAAAATTAGAACATGAATAATGACAACAGACAAGGACTATTTTGAAGTCATTTGGGTATGGAATATTTAGAAAGTAGTGTTTATATAATCAGTCTGAATAGTTTGAAATTTTTAAAAAAATTCTGAAATAAAAAAGAATTATAAAATAGCACATGTACATCAAGTCATAAGATAAAGTTTAATACATTTGATCACGTTAAAAGACAACAAAACACAGCCAATCTAACCAAATTTCAGGCATGCATTTACATAAATATATTAAATTAAGAAAAGAAATTATACACTTAAACATCCTTTTCACCTAAATTCATTAAATCCACAGATCAACAATAAAACCAATTCTCTGCATTTACCACTTCAAGATACAATTGTTCTATTTTAAAGATAACACAAATACACTTGTTAGAATTTATATGCATTATACATATATTATATATTACATAGATAGTGTGTATACATATGTAGTGTTTGTACAGATAGATAAATATATATACATGGGTGTGTGCACACATACAGATACACACAGATGTACTTTAGGCCATCTGTACCATGACTGCTGAATTCTAATGTTGAGCTGAATCGGAGCTGTTGGATGGGACTATTGTCTTTTGCTTCAAACATGTTCATCATACCCACTGGACTCACAATGCCTCCTAGTAAATGCCCTTGTCTTTTCTACAGCATGTAATCATGGTAGGCACTTCAATAAATATTTGCTGAATTAATAAATGAATAGATGGCTGAATAATAGAAGATTGACCAAGGAGAACTGCATATTATAATAATTTGGCTAAATAAATCAGATTATTCAAATTCAGAGGGATTATCTGGGCCAATGACTTTGTGTGTTACCTTTGGAAGGACATTTATAGCAATACCAACTAGTGCAGATATTAACCCTGCTCCCTTTCACGAGTACCTGCTTTTACTTCTTGTTCCTATAGCCTTCTGCCTCTTATTAACAGAAACCCAGGCATGGATTGGTTCTGGTAGGTTCTGTGAGTAAGGCTCTGGACAAACTGTCCTAATATTCAACAACCTAAGGGAAAATGAACAACTTGAGGAACCAAAACATGTTAGAAGAATGATAAAGTTAATTGCTCTTTAAAACTGGACAAAAATCACAGATAAAGCCAGGAAAGACACAGAGTTTTCATTTCGGTATTATTGTATGCTTATTAATTATAATGATTCGATGATATTTTTCATTTTAATTAGGTGGGTTTCTTTTAAATAGTCTACTGTAGCATGTCCTGGGAAATAAAATTCTAAAAATCTCATAGTACCTCAGTTATCATTTATCTTGTTACTATATGTTTCCTGGTGAAATGTATGTCCAAACGTATCCTGTGACTATAATGATATGGGAAATATCTGATTTCTCATAAGGTTGTCAATTTGGTTTCTCAATAGTAGTATCATGAAAGGGGCTTTTTTTTTAAATTAAGATTTTTACATAAAATCTTAATTTATTCTAAAAAATTTATATCTCAGATTTTAAGAATATGAGGTAAGGAAATGTGTAACATACATTTTGGGCATAGACCATTCCAAACTTATTCATATGAATGGAAACTATCAACTAGTTATTTTTTAGTGCCAAGACAAGTATACAAGAATGAGTTTCTGTGAAGACAAAGCTTATTTTATATTTAGCCATTATGAATTTCCCATCACTGTTAATGTTTACTTCTTTCTATACTATGCGCTAAAATATATTTATTTTAACTTAGATTATAGACAATTGAGAAACTCACCATACATTTATATTAACTTGCCTGAATATGTATAAATGTACTTTGGATTTAAGTAATTTAAGTAATACATAATTTACATATGCAAAAAAACGCCAAGAAACCCTGCATGAAAGATGATGTCTGTCTTGTGATGCACATGAGAGATAACCTTAGAGTTAATATTGAGTTGATACCATTTTCTTTTTCTTTTCTTTTTTTTTGGTTACTGTATAATCTGGCTAAGGAAATAATAGCAAGTATTAAACATGGACTTTATGTTGAGGGGAGGGACCCATTATTTATTTTTTACTTTGTTAATTGACTTATATGCCCTATACAAATGATATGGGAAAGCAAAGTAAATGATGGGTGTACCTTGGGTTCATATTTAATAATGAATTTAAGAAAAGTGCTAATCTCCTAAATGAATGAATCTCTCCACAGCAGCTAGCAAAATAATCACTATGACTGAGAAGAAAACAGCTCTGCAACACTCCCTTACAATGTCATGAATATGTCTTACTCTCCTAAAATTAAGGCAATTTCCAAAAGTTATTCAAAGAAGATAGTTAAGAGAAAGAAGGGTTGAGGTTGGCTACAATTAGTGTCTGGAAGCTTCCACAATCATGTTTTTAATATTGAAGTTCTTCTATTCTTAGGTTTCCTACCTTCCTTGACATCACATTAATTATTGGAAGTATGACCAATTTGTGTTGGTGTGACAAAGAAAAAGAAGGTAAGAGAGTAAACATATATTTCTTTTTAGATATTCTAAAGAGGAACTTTCTGATGGCTTTGCCAGCATTTGCAATAGTAGGCCCACCAGCTTTCTGGGAGTAATAAAAAACTATGTACATTTTCTGGCCATGGGATTTGGTCTGAGTTTTCTGCAAGTTCAAACCTTATCCTGGGAGTGGGCAAAAGAAGAGTCTGAAGTCTCTAATGGGAAACTACTTCTTATTTTTCCTCACAGATTTGGAATAATCTTCTTCAAAATAGACTTCAACGAGATGGCTGTTGCTTGGATAGGCAATAGCTACTAACTCTCCTTACTGTTAGTGCAAGCTCTTGACCGGGGTTATTCCCATGTCTTTCCTGTATCTATGTGGGGACAGCTGAATTGGAGCATCTGGACTAGTGGTCATTTATGGTTTTTGTTATTTCCTATAATGATTGTAATAGATCAGTCTAGTACACTATTTGTCTCCTATTCTTCCTGATATAGAATTTGAGCACATGTGACCAGGAGAGGGTATTTTTTCAGAAAAATAAAGAAAAAGATTGCAATTAGCAAAATCAATAGCAACCTACCCCAGGACACCTTCATGATGGGCATACTGAAGATATGTCTATTTAGCCAAAACCAGTAGAAACCAGAGAAGGAAAAGGGGAGGGGCTAAAAGGGAATAGAAAATATATTAGTGAGCGACAGAGACAGAGAGAAAGAGAGAGAGAGAGAAAGGTAAAGGGAGGGAGAAAGAGGCAGAGGATATAGACATCATAGGTAACATTTTATAGAAATGCTCAAACTAATTTGTTAATCAGTCAACTACAACTGCCCATGGTATACCTTATTTTTCCTCTTAAAAACCTGGGCTTGGTTTCTCTTTTATGTTTCAAAGCTAAGAGACTTAACAGAATGTTAGACTAATAAAAGTTTAATGTGCACTTTGAAAGACCCTACATATAGCATCTAAGCTCATATTTTACACTTAGTAGGCTTGTTGTGTATTTTATGATTCAGAGATAAAAACCGAGATCAAAAGCAAATGGATTAAAAATTGTTAGTACATTTTTATGTAATTATTTTCAAAGAAATAAATAGGGAAGAAGTAACTGCTCTGAGGCATGAAAATAATAGAATAATTTTCTATTGAGGTTGTATGTATCATATCTGTTATATGAGCAGGTTTCTTGGCTGTTTATGAGATAGCTCATCAATCTGAGAAAACTGAGTATTCTTGGTGATAAAATAAAAGATATATTTTTATAATAGTTACATTCAAATAAAATTCCAAGAAGAAATGGCATGGATGGATGCACATTTTTGCCATCACTCAAGTTTCTGAAATATTTCCTCCTTTTCACTTTCATGCTCTGCCAATTCAGTTTTCTTCTATCTTAAATGAGAAAACAAGATTCTATGAACCAGGATAGGAGTGTGACAGAAACAGTGGCAAACAGATTATTTCTAACTATTTAAAACTACCATCCCATCATTTTACATTCAACTGACACCCAAAGCTTAAGCTTGAGAACGGACAAGGGAATAACAATAATATACCTTTTTCTAGTTCCTTATTTCACCTTTCTCTTACCCATCAGTATTCTCACCAAGGACATTTTTCTTCCATTTTAGATTGTGTGCTTTATGAACTGAGTAGATGTTGCCTTTCATGTGATGAAACAATAACTTTTCCCGAGCTAATACTTTTTAACCAACTCCTACCTGCCTCTCATCATGAATCATTGAGGATAATTCCACAGTCACGCATTTAAAACATCTACTTGAAAGAAAAGGTCAAAGAGATTTTTTGAATTGACCACTTAGTTTAAAATATGTAGCCATCAATTAGCCAGTGCTATCTACTTTTCTCTTAAGAACAGAAAGAAATGACTCCAATGACTTTATTTTCTTTGCTTGTGTTTAATGTCCATGGATCTTGCTATCTTCTTTTGAGAAGAACTTGGTCTTTTATTCTAACGACTCACAATGGAAAAGGCAATGACACCTGGGGCACATATGTTTTTCTAAGTCACTTGAGACTCTTTCACTTGGGAAAAAAGCTGGATAAAAAAATCTGATTGATATAGATTTTTTAAATAATAGAACTAATGGCAATAGAACACCTTTTTTTTCTTTTGGGGAAGACTTAGAGAGGTTAAACATATCAGAAGAAACGCCTGATATTTGAGATTTTGCTGAATCTATAGCAGCATCCTTATTGTTTTCAGTGAAACTAGGAACAGGAGAATGTGTAATAAAACTGCACAATTTGACAGATTTAGACAGCTGGCTCCCTCACAAGAAGTTCACATTTTGTTAATGTCACCCACGTTGAATAAGAAACTATTAGATGGTAAGGTCCATTTACAAAAATGGTTGTCAGGACATTTTTTTTTTTAATTGTAAAACTTTCTGTGATGGAATTCAGTAAAAGGGCTATGAAGAGAAAGCAATGGAGACAAAAGATTGCTATTAACCTACAGATGCAGGCTACTGCATGGTTCATTGCAAGATTTGTCACACTGTTGGGCCAATGAAGTGTTAGTGTGACTAGAAGGGACCACCCCTTTTCTGGGGTAAGAGGGCAATTTGGTCTCCATGCTCATTTAATCCTGAGACTTCTTTGAATAGACTGTCAATTGAATCTAAATTGTGCAAAATTATGCATGCACTTTTTAATGCAGGCTATTGTGCACTAAGCACTGAACCAAGATTTCTCAACCCATTTCCATTTGGCATGAGGTCACTTGAAACTTAAGTAATCATATATGGAAGACAAGAGCAGTGTACTTAACCAATCTTTCTACATTGTGGTTTCTATATAAATGCTCACTGGACTTTAATTGCAAATCTCTCACTTTAAAACAATAGAGAAGTACTAGCTACAAGATTTTTTTTTTCTTTTTAATTGAGGCTCATATTCCTAAAGGTAAGGAGCAGGTTTGGAAAGTCAGCTGGTTGTGCATAGTCTATACTGCTCTACAATTTAGATTTTAGAGGATTGGATGTTTACAGAAGGAGGACAACTATAGTGGGTATGCACTTGTCAAGAGTAGATGTATTTTTTTTCAGTAGTGCAAAGAGGCCTTATAATTTTGTTAAAATCCAAACTTGGAGAGCTGGCCTCAAAAACCTTTAAGAAAAATGTCTACTAAACTTTTTGCAGTTTTAAGTTAGAACATATCATTTCTTTAGAAACCTGAACAGAACATTTACAGAAAATTTATTGATACATTAACCAAAGAGTATTTTCATTGACTTTGGAAGGAACATATACATTAAAAGTCATATTTGGCAAGAATTATTTATATTAAAAATTTGTACAAGTGACAGCTTACATAGCCAAGATTTGTTAAAAACGAGTGAGCTCTTCTCCAATGAGGTTCGATTCAGTGGAAATCTGCAACATTCTAATCACATATACTCTGACAGTCTTGCTATGGTGAAAAGCACTTTTACAAATGTTTAATGCTGGAATTTTATAAGGATTGGCTGTTTTCTTGCTTTTTCATCCGTCGTTAATGATTACATGTTGGCACAAGGATACATTGCTAGCTTAGATCCACAGCACATTAAAGACTGTTTGTTTTCTCACTCCCCTTCTTTCCAATTAAGATGGTGAAAAATGTAACTTTAGTATTTTACAGGACAGGGTAAAGGTGTTTCATCTAGGTGATGTCTATATTATAAAAATAAAATAAAAAATATAAATATGTAACACAAACCCAGTGCCTATTGTTAAATAAAATATACAATAAAAGCAGACCTTTTAGGAAGATTGATTTTTAAAATATGCTGTTATGATTTAATTATAAAACACTTGAAAACAATCTTGAGATTAAGCTGAAGTAACCAGATTTCTCTGCCAATAGAAAGGTAAGTGCGTAACATTCTGTAATCGGATACACTGATAAAAATGAAGATTACAATTTTATATCAGGTTGCTCAATTGGAAATTCATCAGGGAGTTCTGAAACATTCTCTCATAGTATAGTCCTTTAATATAAAAATATTGCCTTTTTTATTAGATCCATCAGATTGCACAGTAATGTTTCAAAACTCCATTAAAGTTGACTTTAGTGATTACAGACAGAAAATTCCTGGGAAGTCCAATAATCTCTTCTGGTGACATAAAAATTCCGTTATCAATTTACAATGGAATTTCTGTGTAAATTACTCTGTACAAGGAAGTATATATATTTAAAACCCATCTGTTATGCAACCACGAGTATAGGGGTTATGAGTATGTGTACGTGCATATGTGAACAAACGTGCCAACATACACACAGAGGATTTCCACATTTCTGGAAATTATTTTTAAATTAATAAAAGAAAATGAAATCACAGGAGTGTGTAGCAGGATAACAGTCTTTCTTTTTAATGACAGGATAAAAAATAAATGCCCATTGGAAAGGAATATTCAAACAGTCCCAGAAACTATACAATGTAACTTGTTAGATCCAGCAAATAAGATGTCATGTCAATGATCTGATCAAGAATACCTGCCCTGGTCACTCTGCGGATGTTTCTGTCCACTTGTTCACACTGAGGACCAAGATATCCTTTTTTACAGAGGCACTTGTTTGGTCTGACACAGACACCTCCATGACGACATGGGGGCTCACATTTTGCTGTATGAAAAAAAAAAAAAAGGACAATAACATCACACCCTCATTTCTGTATGTTTCTGTACAGAAACAACACCAAGTAGGGGACCTACAAGTATTTGCTGAGTAAGAGAAGGGAGGGAAAAAAGGAGGAAGATGGCCACAAAATGGTCTGAAAGATAAATATATGAAGTAGGAAAACAGTCTTTCACACCCACAGTTATTTGAGAGGCAAAACACAGCACAGAATGAGAGACATTTCTAGAGAAGCAGAGATCATGGGAAACAACTGTGATCCTTTGCAGACTTAAGATTCTAGTCCTTGCAAATCTCTGCTCCACAGGGGCATGACCCACAGGGGGCCTTCCAAGGCCTGAGTTCCCAATCCTTCAAGGTAGGACCTCAGTACAGGAAGGGCCCGGCCAGGGAGAGAGGCACAGGGGCTCAAGCATCGCCAATGCAACATAAAGGAATGGCCAGTTTGGGATTTGGGTTAGGCAGAATATCCACCATATTTCCCCTTGTTTCCAGGGGGCACATAGCACAGGCTTTGCTCTCTGATTATACTTTAAAGTCTGTTTTTTGGAGTCAGTGCAATTGGCCAGTGAAGGGTATTCTGAGCAGTCCTTTTCAGGGCTCCTCTACAGCACAGAATTTCTTTCTTAAAGAATGTCTACCACTGCAGTATACATAGGGGATATAAAGACTTGCTGATAAAATGAGATGGAGACATAAAATTGGGTGTATACATGAATTGTCATTTTCTGATAAGATAAATATGGGAAGTGCAGCCACTGTAGAAGGAATTGAATTCCTTGAATGTAATTCCTTATGCTTTGAGGGGCCAGGGTCATTTTCATCTTTTCAAATACATGAATCAAAATCTAGGGCCTGTGGCTGGCATATGGGAAAGAATAAGAAGAAAATAAACAGACTATTTTCTCTTTTAAATTTGTAGGAGATGAGTAAACTATGTGAGTATATTAATAAAGTTCTTGCTTGTATCAAAAATATTCTGAGTAGCTGGGCACGGTGCCATGAGCCTGTGGTCCCAGCTATTTGGGAGGCTGAGATGACAGGATTGCTTGGGCCCAGGAGTTCAGGTCTAGCCTGGGCAACATAGTGAGATCTTGTCTCTTAAAAAAAATTAAATTAAAATTGTGAAAATCCCAAATAGATTGCTTTTGGTTTATCTTATATGTTCAAACTATTTAAATTTATTCAGTGGAAAGATTAAAGTATTTTACTGAAATAAAACTTCACGTTAACTCAAAGAATGTCTATTTTAATTTATATTACATATTATTAATATTAAGCTATGTATAATGCCACTTGTGCTCAAAATACTTTGCCCTCAGTTTAAACATACAGTCACTAGAAGGCACTCAATCAATATTAGTTAACTGGTGACTTGAGGTGACATAAGCAGTTAGGTAAAATACAAAGTAGGGAATATAACAGAAAGGACACTATATAAAAGAAGCTTCATTCCTCAAAAGATGCAGAGGAACAGACAATATATTATCAGGAATTTGAATATTATACATTTGAATACATTCTTATTTTTTTGACCAACTAAACAAAAAAGGGAGACAGACTGGGGTCAACAAAATGTAAGCTTTTTGTTTTAAATGGTGTAATTACTTAATTTCTGTGGAGTTTTAATTTTGATAGCTTTTCTTAGATAGGCAACCATGATATTAATCAATCTATAATGTTATGAATGCTTAGGCAATTTAAACTTAAAATGTATACTGTATATGTGACTTTAAATGTTGGTTAGTTTTGTTGGACAATATATAAAGTAGACAAGTTTTGCTTATGATTTTTTTAAACAAATACATCTTTAGAATAAACAAAAAAGAGCATTCACGAATGAAGAATAATATTAAATATTAACTTGAGACTAATTTTCACTGGCAAGAGGTATTTTAATATTTTAAGTAGCAGAGATCAAAATTTTTTCTAGGTGTTCTGTACCTGCTGGTTGTCAAATATGCATTTTCAACATGTACATCTTAAACTCTAGGTTTCTAAGTTTATCTGATTTTCTTACTTCACACCAAGTAGAACATAAACATCACTGTGCATAATCGACGAAATCTCAAGTTAAAGGATAGAATAACCCTGGAATAAATCTCCTCTGCTCTCTCAGAGCAGCTGCACATCTAGCTGATGGTTCACAAGGGAGTGGCAAAAAGAATTAAAAAATCTCATAAGATGCCTCTAGATAATTGCGTTTTCCCCTCTTACTTAATAACACCCATTGCAAAGCCCTGTTTTTAGTGTGCTGTAGCAAGAAAGCAAGCAGTAAAGCCAGAGATGGCATTTACGGGGTGTCTGGAAAACGCTAGCACGTGGAGAGGAGCCTTGAAAACATTAAGTCACTGGCGAGTGTGAAATCTCAGAACCCAATACCGAGAGCACCACAGAGATGATCTAGTTGAGCTATTTTCATTTTTTGCTTTTTGAAAGGATTCATTTAGGTGTTTTTTAATGTTTATGACTAACATCATTTACATTAAGAAAATGAGAAAGATTTCATTTACAAGTTCAGAAGCAGATGAGCATTAATATTATTGTAAATGCTAAACGCTCTTGAACACTAGCTAATTCTGGAAGAGACAGCTAACGTTGACTTCTTGAGTCCCTAAGGACTGCCCCATCCCCACCCAGTCTTTGCTAGGGAAAAGAGAAATACTAACCGATTCTGCAGAAGTCCCCCTCCCAGCCGGGACTGCAGCAACACTTTCCCGTGGGGGTGCAGTAGCCGTTCCGACACAGCCTGGAGCACTCCGAAGTCAGCATCTGCGCGGGTTGTATAGCGGCTCTGCATTCCTCAGGCATTAAAGGTCTGCATCAAAACAATAGTTCAAAGTGTATTTGGTGGAAAATCAATATTGGAATGAATCTAGCAATTTCGTAGCTTACATAGCGTATCTCTTCCTTTCTATTTTTTTTTCTTTATTTTTTTTTTTTTTTGAGACAAAGTCTTACTCTGTTGCCTGGGCTACAGTGCCGTGGCATCAGCCTAGCTCACAGCAACCTCAGACTCCTGGGCTCAAGTGATCCTCTTGCCTCAGCCTTTCGAGTAGCTGGGACTACAGGCATGCGCCACCATGCCCGGCTAACTTTTTCTATATATGTTTAGTTGTCCAGCTAATTTCTTTCTATTTTTAGTAGAGATGGGGTCTCACTCTTGCTCGGGCTGGTCTCGAACTCCTGAGCTCAAATGATCCTCCTGCCTAGGCCTCCCAGAGTGCTAGGATTACAGGCGTGAGCCACCGCACCCAGCCCATAGCTTTCTAAGAATAGAAAATACATACCAGTGAGGAAACGAATTAACCAGTTTTGAACCAAAGTGACATAGTAGACATTCTAAGAAACCTTGTCATGATCAAACCTCATTGATGAAAAATGAGAGTTTAATTATATCGATATTTTATATTTAATAGCTAAGAATTTCTGGCAATTGTAATGTTTAAAATAAAGATGTATAGATATTTTAAAACTTTTTCCCACAGATCTACAAAAGTTATTAGGGGTGGTATCTGAGATAATTTTGCTTGTTAGTGACACGGTTGACAATATCACTGGGCTAAAGGTTTTCCTTAAAATGAGCACTTGTAGCCTAAAAATTGGGAATAAATTTTTCTTTCAATTTTATATTTCTTTTGTGATAATATTTTCAGACTGATTTTTCTTGAAAGGTCATCATAACATATGGGTATATGTAGAGTAATCAAAGTTTAAACTTTTCATGCAAAGAACGATCCATAACGGAGATTTTATGTATATACATTTCAATTTGATTTTGTCTTGCTAGGGAAAAAAGAACTCTAGTAGCAGCAAACAGAAACATCTTATTTGCAATAGAGAAAATTATAGATTTCATTTTAATTGTTCTACAACTGCCATCATTTATAGAGGAAACCAAGATGCCTTCAGAAGACTTTTTTTTTTTTATGGTTATTACTGTTTTTGAAATAAGATGTCATTCAAACTGGATCAGGCTATGAATTGCAGTCATAACTACTCTTTTTTTGGAAAAAAATTTTTTTTTGGAAAAAATCGTGCAGTGGCACTTTCCTATCAGTCACTGTTACTTGTGCCACAGTGCGGTGAGAGGGCTCTTCTCAGTTAAGGAAAGCAAACAAATGTTTTCATCAGTAGTCGAATCACCAGGATTAGGATGGTCAAAGCAATTGGACTCCTTAAGTACCACAACAAAGAAGGTGATCATCATAGGGCAAAACCAGCACAAGAGATAACCACTGCATGGAGCTTTCTGAGATAAGCAAATACATACACCCTGTAGACTCAGTTTTCTTGAGATACCTTGTTATGTCCCTGTGGCAATATGAACAGTGATAATAGTTTGGGGCCTGATCTCAGGCTGTTTCTGCAATGACTCTTAAAAATGGGTAGTGACTTCTCCTGCTCCTCTTCCCAATGAAAGTCCCACTCTATATTACACGACAATTCAGAAACTCCCTTAACTATATTCACTCTCCTATTTAAATCTATTACAGAAAAGGACAACTTATATGAAAGGTCCTTAAGGCATTCCATGGACTGAGCATATTTTCATTCAGAAAACATTAACAAATATTTTCCATGTGTCGTTCCCCAAGGTAGTCTTTCTGGGAGTCAGGGTGAGGTGGGATAAGGCAGAAAAAATGTTAAATGATCATGCCAAGAAAGGTAAGGGCATTATCTTCCTCTTCTTATTGTTGTTGAATACCCCATCCATGTCTGCTCTATGTCTCTCACTTTTAAAATTCTTATTTTGTTTGTGAGACAATGTGGCATTTTTGGCCATCAGAAGAGCAGTTTTCCAATGACCACGAAGTTCTTCTGGTTCATAGGTCATTATCGTTTTAAGTGGCATTCACTAAACAGGTATAGTTCTAATTGAAGCTGTAGAATTCTGTGCCTGTCTGCTTGTTATTCACTTGTTCACCCTCTTTCTGACTCATTCAATAAAAGAGACCTAGAAATAGAGGATGTCAAAAATGTTATAGGTAATGCAGAACATGCAGGTATGTACATAGCTCACATACTACTCTACAGGATGGTTTAGGCCTGAATAGATGAATCTGAAGAGAAGACATCATTCACATCAAGAATGTAAGTGACTTCAGTTAAAGAACTACAAGGCGTTGCCTTTTTGAGGCAGAGTATAGGGACACTGATTCATGTGCACTGGGAAAGGAATGAGGGTATGAGAAACAGGGATCAAATACTGAAGGGCAGTTCTTTAGGGCAGGGGATCTGACACTTGGTTCTCTGCTGATCCTTCTAGCAGAGGCTTTGACTGTGTCTCACCAAACATTAAAATATACGGAGCCTCAGATTATAGAGGGAATCTAAACTGTTTTTTTGCCTGAGGTTTAGTAAATGCCTAGCTGTCTGCGAATGTAATAATTATTTCATACGTGGGCTTGTTTACATTACCTTCTATAACATTGTGTGGCTGCCATACATAAACATATAATTCAGTTATTCTCTCTCTCTCTCTCCTTCATTGCAATGAAAGTTTTCTGAGGGCAGAAGCTACATACTCAGTTCTCTTCAAGTCCAATCATTTACTTGAGCAAGTACTATGCTCTTCATGGGGCTAAGACATCAGACAGAGTCCTGATCCTTACAGAGCCCACGGAGGGGAAGACAGACATGCAAACACAAAAGCATATGTAGTGTGTTCTTTGCTATGAGACAGGTGCACATGAAGTATCATAGAAATACAGATGAGGGAGCACTTAGTTTAGGATTGAGCGATGTAATAGAGAGATGACATTTAAGCCACCACGTATTTTTATCTTCTTCAACTACTTATATTCATAGGAATTGGGAAAATACTGTGCAGGCAGTTGATAAGTGTTTATTAAATTAAATTGAATGTGTATAGTAGTAACTTTCTCAGATACACTCTCTGGAATATAAACTCCATGAGGACAAATGCTACCTCTCTTCTGTTGTGTCTCCCCAGGACCTAGAAGACTATGTTGCACATGGGAGAACCTCAATAAAAATCTGTCGAGTGAATGAATGAAATTACTAGGAATATGGAATTTTAAAAGGGCATTTGTTTCCTGTCTATGCTATTGGATAAAGATACTAGGAAAATATGACTATTAGGGGGAGGGATATAACTAAAATCTAATTGCTATACTTTCATATCATAAACATAAAACTAAAAACACACTGTCTCTCTCTATTGCCCAAATTAACTTGTCTTATAAAATTCTTCTAAGACATAGTTAAATTTATTTTAAAAGATGCAATTTTTATACTAACTATAATATAATAGTAAATAAAAGGTGAAGAAGTCAAGGTAAGCAAGAGATAAAGAGATAGGATTGTTTTCTTCTCCAGATGGGCATTAAGCAACACATTAAAATTTATTTTTCTAGTAATATATCTGGTAAAATCTGACAACGACTTTTGGTGACCCAACCATACCCCTCCAATCACACTTTGTGATGGTGACATTCTCCGTTCTATGGAAAAGAACAGGGTCCCTTTATTACAGAATAAAGAGAAAAGAAAACGGAATAAAACAGTACATTTGAACTTTATTATTATTGTAATGTTGGAATAGACCATCTTACGTATACATAAATATTACATACGCACACCTAGATGGGATCTAAACACAAATTTAGAGTATATATTTGTGATAAATTCATTTTTATTCTTATTTTTATTAGACTGGAAAATTGAGTGTTTTAATGTATGGTCAAATAAGAATCATTTAAATAGCCTTGTTCTTTTAAACAATTACTTGTTAAACTTTTGGACCCTTAGCTCTACCAAATGAATTCAGAAGTAGCTTTCAAAAGAAAAAACGTACCCAAGAGGGTGTTTAGGTTTGTAATAAAAAGTATATCGAGCCCATTTTTTGACAGCTATCCCTAATAGCTCTCAAAGTCAATTTAAATCAGAAAAACATTATTTCCTAATCCCTTCACACATGAGAAATAATGAAACACTAAGGGGCTAGTGCAGAAAACTGCCCAACATTCTTTAATATATAAAGCATTATTTTCAGAAATGTAAGACATTTTCTTAGAAACCCACTGTGGCTGGCTTTGTGAAGTTATATAAAGAGTCAGATACTTTTTTGAAATAAAGGGAGAAGCTGAGAAGCATTAAGTAATTTATAACACACATCGCATGGGATGACTTTTTGTTACTAGCTAAGGCCAACAGCGAATGTCGCTGGGTAGTGAGATTATGGATGGTTTTAATTTAATGATATTTACTGTAATAAATGAACAAATGAATCAATAAATGGGAAGTCCTCTGTGACTCTGTAGGGAGGTACAGGGATATATCCTATCTGAGCAGGCCTGCCCTTCAGAGTGAGCACTGCAGAAATCTATTTTGCCTTTTACAAAAGTAAAGGGGTTTAGTCTGAAATTTTTGTTAGGTGTCCAGATTTTAAATTCATTTAATTATAACACAAGATCACTCACAGATCGTCAGTAATACTGTTATGCAAAATCCTGATCCATTAGAGGTTTAGAAGATGTAGTAATTCTGTAGCCTCTCTTGGACAGCAATGTGCTTGTATACAGTGATATATAAACTATCTTATCCCTTTACCCATCGTCACGTTGGAACACATGGAAAAGTGTTCCCTTGCAATTGTAACATTTAAAAAACTACTTTTCCTCCATGCTTTTCCCCATTCTTATGAATCAGGAAAAACTGATAACGTCTAAATCCTCATTCCTCATAGTACAATCCCAGAAGAGCAGCACCTGGATTACGTGGGAGTTTATAGAAATGCAGAAGCTCAGGTCCTACCTACTGAATTTGAATCTGCACTTTAACAAGTTTGTCAAG